ACGGGCATCGTTGGTCTCGGCGTGGCCAATTGTGAGTGTCTGGTGGGTTTCCTCCCTCTGTTGGTCTCCCCGTTTCGTCGGCCCCGGCTGTCCCTATTCCAACGAGTGTCGGGTTGGTGCTCTCGGTTCCTGGGGGAGGTGTTGTCTCGCTGCCGGTTGCTCGGCTCTCGGCGTCGGGGGCTGTAATTTTTCCGAAGCCGGCAGACTCGGGCGATGTGGCCCCTCTTGTTGCAATTCCGACAGGTCGCGTCGAAAAAACGGCAGTCTGCTCGGTAGTGGTTGCCCCCGCACCCCGCACACTGGGTCCCCGACTTACGACCTCGTTGGTCTCGTCGTGTCTGGAGCCGATGGACGTCTTCTTCTTCTTCTTCGTCTGGGGTGTCCGAGGCGGAGTCCAGGTCGCCGTGGTGTGTGGCGGTTTCTCGGCGGTTAGCCTCGGGGTTGTCGGTGCGGTCCCCGTTCTCCGCTTTCCGTAGTCGAGCTGCCGATTTCTTGGTGGCTTCGGCGGCGGACGCTTCTGCCAGGGCGACGTCGAGACTGATGTCCCCCTTTGCCATTAGACGGCTTTTCAGTGCCTGGTCTCGGAGACCTAGGACCACGCGGTCTCGGAGGACGTCGTCTAGTTCATGGAATTCGCACAAACCCCCGAGGTCCCTTAGAGCGGCTATGAAGTCGTTTATGCTCTCGTCCTGCCGCTGATTTCGCCGGTAGAATTCGTCTCGTCGGATGAGGATGGGCACGGTAGGAGCGTAGTGGTTTTTTAGTAATGGCGCAAGGTCGGCCCAGTCCATCGTCTTTACGTCGGCGGGTTTGGCGAGGGCTTTCGCCATTTTGAACACTGCGGGCCCGCAATGTGTCAGGAAAACAGCCCTTTTCTTGTTTCCGTTGGCATCCTTCAAGTTGTTACTCTCGAGGTACATCTGGAAACGGTCAGCGTACGATTCCCAGTCCTCGGTAGTCGGGTTGAATTGTGCGGGCGGAGTGAGGCCGGCCATCGTGTTGGTCTTTGTCTTCCTCCGGACACGTGCTTGGTGGTTCCTTCTTGGATCCCACCCTCGTCGCCAGTGTCGTGTCCGGCGCAGGAAGGAAACTCGGAGTCAGTGACAAAGTTCAGCTCTTTATTGTGCTCCAGTACATGCTTGGGGAAAAGAAGGAAAAACCCCGGCTTTTATTTCCAAGCCGCGGCGGCCCGCGGCCAATGACATTGTTTCGAATCTCCCGCTCTTGGCTCGACCAATAGCGGGAGATTCTTAACGGACCAATCAGGGCGGCTTGCCCAACCAATCCGGTTGCCGCGCGCTTTAGCCAATCGCAGCGCGGGGTTTGCAAGTATGTTAATTCTAACCAATCCGGTTTCCGCGTGCTTTAGCCAATCGCAGCGCGGGGTTTGCAAGTATGTTAATTCTTTGTACAGAACAGTATGCATTGCATTCTGGATGCTAGAACATAAGTCTGTGCATGCTGGCACGCATGCAATTTTTGGCACAGGAGCCCAAAAAGATTAGCCACCACTGCCCTATCCTATCCTATTTATTTTATTTATTGATTTGATTTGTCAATCGTTTACAAGATAATAGGTCTAAGAATAAACATGAGTATGAATACAGGAAATAGGTATGAATAAATGGGAAGAATAGGACAGGGACGGTAGGCACGATTGTGCGCTTATGCACAATCCTATCCTATTCCTTTCTTGCTTTGCCTGCGCATAGGTAGCTTCTGCACCTGAGACAAATTCCTCGTGTGTCCAACAGCACCTGGCCAAATAACGTATTCAAATAAAGTAGCCAAGGTTGGACAACTCTGGTCTAACTGCTTGTATAGAAGACTAGCATGTGCATGGTGGGCACTTAGTAGATGTGAGTAGCTCAACAGAACAAACCTGAGGCATGGCAATGATCCCAAAAGAGTCTTGCATGGAAGACAGAGAGAGAGGGGGAGGGAGGGGAGGAGAGAGAGAAGCCGGTATCAATTTCTGTAGCCATCCATTTGTTCCCTTTAATGGTTTTTGTTCTCTTCTCTTTGCCCCCAATATGCATTAAACTTCATTAACAATACAAGATGCTACGATTTACATTTTATTTCCCTAATGGATGAAAATGAAATACAACCAGGAAGAGAATGCTTGTAATTGCAGAGTTGAAGCTTTGAGCTGTAAATGTTTGTTTTAAAAGCATGAAAAGCGGAACGGTTTGTTTGTTTGTTTGTTTGCTCGCTTTAAAAAGTGCATATAAACATTTTAGAAAGTGCAAAGGGAAATAATACGAATCTAAAAAAACAGTTTGCTGCCAGGAGAGTATTTGGTGGTCGTGCGGGAAGACCCTGTAGTACCACAGTATTACAAAGATGTTGATGGTGACCAACAAGCAAATATGGGAACACCTAACCTCAGGTGTGTCCCTAGAAGGCAAAATGACAAAACTCACTTATTTTGGCCATGTCATGTGGGGGAATTCACGGGAGAAAGCAATTCTGTGGGAAAGAGTTAGCGGTAAAAGGAGACCAGGCCACCACAGATCACAGTGGTTGGATACCATCAAAGCCAACACCCACCAGAGCCTAGAACAACTCAAAGGACTACAGGTCGTCCCTGGCTTGGGACCACAATAAGGTAAAGGTTCTCCTCACACATATGTGCTGGTTGTTCCCGGCTCTAGGGGCCGTTGCTCATCTCTGTTACAAAGCTGAAGAGCCAGCACTGTCTGAAGACGTCTTCATGGTCATGTGGCCGGCAGGACTCAAAGCCTTCGAAAGCACACGGAACGCTGTTCCCTTCCCTCCAAAGTGGTCCCCATTTTTCTACTTGCATTTTTTTTACATGCTTTTGAACTGCTAGGTTGACAGAAGCTGGGACAAGGAACGGGAGCTCATTGCATGATGCAGCACTGGGGATTCGAGCTACCAAACTGCTGACCTTTCTGATCGACAAGCTCAGTGTCTTAGCCACTGAGCCACCGCGTCCCCCTTACGGCCACAATGGAGCCCGAAATTTCTGTTGTTAAGCGAGACAGTTGCTAAATGAGTTTTGCCCCATTTTACGACCTGCCTTGCCACCTTTGTAAGCAAATCATTGCAGTTGATAAGTTTATCGCTGAGTTCGGTGGCTCAGTGAACCCGGCTTCCTTGTTGACATGGCTTGTCAGAAAGTCACCAAAGGGGAATCATGTGACCTTGGGACACAGCAACCGTCCTAAATATGAACCGGTTGCCAAACACCTGAATTTTGATTGCATGACTGTGGGGAGGCTGCAATGATTGTACCTGTGAAAAACAGTCCTCCGTCACATTTTTTCAGTGCCGTTGTAACTTTTGAACGGTCACTGAATGAATTGGTGTGGTGGCCTAGAGGTGGAGTTCTCGCCTCACAATCAGGAGGCTGTGAGTTCGATACTAGGTAGAGGCAGCTATTTCTCTCTCTCGGGGCACACTGAGAATATATATGCTAAAAAAAAACCTCCGCATTGGCAACAGGAAAGGCATCCGGCCATTAAAACACTCAGCTAGCTCCATTCATTTACCCAGACTTCACCCCGTCACAAGGGATTATGGGGTTGTTAAATGATGATGATGATGATGATGATGATGACAATGACTAAATGAACTGTGGTAAGCCAAGGACTAGCTGTAGTGCAAAGAGAACATATCTGCTGTGAACCAGCAGTTGGATCCTATCTGTTCCAATACTGGTTCGGGAGTTCACACGCAGCTTTCCACACACCAGCTGAGGCCTGCGTAGCCAATCCACTGAGAGGATAAAGAAGATAAAAGGACATGGGTGGATGGGAGGAGCCAATCCTGCACTTTTCTCTTTTTTCCTCCTCTCAGCTGATCGTAGGAGGCTTTTTTCTTTTTACTACCGGTTCAGGTGAACCAGTCCAAACCGGAAGCATACCACCACTGCTGTGAACCCCCTGTAGGCATTAGGAAAGGCGTCCGGCCAGTAAACACTCAACTCTATTCAGTCGCCCTGACTCTACCTCAAATTAAGGGATTACAGGGGTCGTAAAAAGAAAAAAGAAGTTGTACATATACCGTATAATGGTAGCATTTAAAAAAATAATAATATTGAAACCACGCATCGCTCTGAAATGCATTCCTTTGAGATTCTTATTGTCATTTTTATAGCGAATTATTATAATGTGTCACAGTTATGTCAGTATAAAAATTTAAAAAATAATAATATTGAAACCACGCATTGCTCTGAAATGCATTCCTTTGAGATTCTTATTGTCATTTTTATAGCAAATTATTATAATGTGTCACAGTTATGTCAGTATAAAGGAGCCATATTACAACAAGAGTAAAGAAAGTAACTGAACAATGCTATGGTATGTCACATCTGAATAAATGAATATTTTTCACATGGCTGCCCTGGTAATTCTGACTCCTTTCAGAAGACATGATTTATTCATATTGCTACAATAAACAAAACAAAAAATTGAAAGGTAATGCAACAGAATTCGCAATCATGTTTATCTTAACATTAACCTTAATCAATTAAATTTACCTATTCTATTAGACTTTCCTACTCAGTTAAACTTAAAAATCCCCAAGGCAGAGATTGAACCTGAATTTCTCCAAAGCCATAGAAGTAACCCATTGTGCCAGATAAATCAGTTTGATCTATTCAGTAAACATTGGTAAGCAAAATATTACCATGATTTGTGCATCATGTGAATGAATCCATACTGTTTACCCCATCCTGCAGAACTGGTTTTTAAATAAGCCAGGTTTAAATAAGCTGGTTTTAAATAACACTAGTAGAAGAGAATAGTTGGAGCTCAGCGTTGAAATTTGAGGTCCTTGGTGCTCTCTGAGCTTGATGGTTTTCTTATAGACGTATCATTTCTAAACTAGCTAACATCATCAGTGCTAAAAAGGAGTGGGATTTACTCTCTGTTCATATACTAGTGGCTGGTATTGTTCGTATTTGTGGGAGTGTTGGTTTCTTCTTGGTAATTTCTTACTGGGCCATTGTTTACTGTTCGATTGATTGTCTGAGTTGGTAGTTCCTTGATTGCGTATTGTTTATTGCTTACTTTTTGATTGCAGGTCAAGAATGTGTGATCATATTAAGTGATCATATTAAGAGCAATTGCATTCTTTTCGCTGATGATGTAAAGCTGTTCAATACCACAGACAATACTGCTACCCTACAAAAAGATCTTGACTATGTATCAGAATGGTCAAACAAATGGCAACTTCAAATCTCAACAAATAAATGCTCTGTCTTACATATTGGCAAAAAAAAATCAGAAAATAAAATACAAGCTGAATAGTCAAGATCTTGTTGATGACCCAAGCTCTGTAAAGGACCTTGGAATACTCACCTCTAATGATCTAAGTGCTAGAGCCCACTGCAACTACATAGCCAAAAAGGCATTAAGAGTTGTTAACCTAATCCTACGTAGCTTTTTCTCTGGTAATATCACACTACTAACCAGAGCATACAAAACATTTGCTAGACCAATACTCGAATACAGTTCATCAGTCTGGAACCCACATTACGTATCTGATATTAGCACAATTGAGAAAGTCCAGAAATATTTCACAAGAAGAGTTCTCCACTCTTCTACTCGTTGTAGAATACCTTATGCCACCAGACTTGAAATTCTAGAACTAGAAAACCTTGAATTATGCCGTCTTCGGTCTGATTTAAGCATGGTATATAAAATCATACATTGCAATGTCCTACCTGTCAATGAATACTTCAGCTTCAACCATAACAACACAAGAGCACACAATAGATACAAACTCAAAGTTAACCGCACCAAACTTGATTGCAGGAAATACGACTTCAGCAATAGAGTGGTCAATGTCTGGAATACTCTACCCGACTCTGTAGTTTCTTCCCCAAACCCCAAAAAACTTTAACCTTAGACTGTCTACTATTGACCTCACCCCTTTCCTAAGAGGTCTGTAGGGGGCGTGCATAAGCGCACCAACGTGCCTACCGTCCCTGTCCTATTGTTTCTCTTATTCTTCTTTTATTTTTCTTATATGTACCCATTTCATGTATTCACAACTATGTATACACTTATACTTATTATCTTGTAAACAATTGGCAAATCAAATAAATAAATAAATAAATAAAAGTAAACAATTAATTGATCGATTAACCTTGGTGTTATTCTCTACTTATCTGGATACCTAATCAGGAAACCACGAAGAATATTCTCATCAATACTAACAGAGAAAGCCAACAGCATATAAAAAGAGAGCAAACCCCACTCTCTTCCAGCACTGATCACGTTACATAGTGGTAATGTGACGTCTGTAAGAAAACCACCAAGCTCAGAGAACACCAAGGATGCGACAGTCCTAATGCTTAGTTAATGCATTTTTTCTCAGCAGGATGTACAGTGGAATCCTGGGTCATGAACACTTCTGTTCATGACCAAATCAGGTGACAACCAGAATTTTTGGCAAAGTTTTGTTTCTAGTCACAAACACATCTTCGGGTGGCGACCAGACACAGCCGCGGTGATTTTTCCTGCCATGGGCGATTTACCGTTCGGCGTCAATTCTTGTCTGTGCATGCGCAGACAATCGTGCTTCTGGTCACAACCAAATCAGTTGTGACCATAGTCCTGGAATGGATATCGTGACCCAAGTTTCCACTGTATTAGATGTCAGGATTCTGGCGGTTACCCCCATTTAAATCATGAGTCCCTAGCCGAATTTTCAAAACTTCAAAAGGATTTATTGGGAGTTAACATGCCAGCATTGCCTGGGTACAGCTGACTCTGAGACACATCATTCATTGTCACCCTTGACCCTGGTTTCCCCCCACCCCCTGGGTGTATCATAATTCATATTCTCCAATGGGACACATCCATAGTCAAGAATCATCAATCATGTTCTCCAGTTAGAATTTTGCACGGCAGAAACTTCAGTCACCTAGTTACTATCTTGGAAAACATTTGTGGAATGCATTTTCGGTTTTGCAAGCTGCTGCACTTCTTCTCCCTCCCTTTCTGTTGGCAACTCAGAAAAGACCATAGAAATATTTTATGAGTTGACATTAGGTTTCCTTCATGGGGAGATTGGGGGTGAGGTTTGAGACATGATCCACCGGTGTGATGACCCAGGGCAAGGCACAAAGGCAGCATAATCAGCTGATAGTTCAAAATGCCCCTTTATTGCTCCAACTTTCCCCCAACCAGTCCCACGTTATGGCAAGTCCCAGAGGAAAGTGATCTCTCTCTCTCTCTCTCTCTCTCTCTCTCTCTCTCCCTCTCCCTCTCCCTCTCTCTCTCTCTCTCTCTCTCTCTCTCTCACACACACACACACCTCTAGCAGCCTCTGGCTGCAAGTAGTCCAGAAATATGCTGTGAGCACAATGGCTGCAAAGTGAGAAATCCAGCAGGGCAAGGGAATACGTCAGTGAGTTCAGGAAGCAAAGGAACACAGCAATGATTTCAGGAGGCAAAGGAACAAGGCAATTAGTCCAGGAAGCAAGAAAGAAAAGGAAGAAGTCCAGGAAACTCCAAACATCAGCAACAGCACACAAAACCCCATGAATTCAACGTTTGTTCCTGACAAACGCCATTTCCCACAGCATCTCCTTAAATCTCAGTCCCCATGTGTGCCTTGTGAAGAGGGGCAGGGCACTCTCCTCCTGAGTTGTTGGGTTGGCCTATGCTGTTCTCACCTTCTCTCCACTCTCCAAGCTCGAGGATCAGGAGGGGGTGGCTTTTGCTCATTACATGAGCTCCTTCGCTCCTCATTTCCACTGCCTGCCCTCTGTTGGTTGTCCTGGCCCCGTTCCACCCTGCTAGCAAGCTGTCCCACTCCTGAGGGGCCGTGGCCTGCCTCCTCCCCACATTCCTCCAAAGCCAATGAAGCAGCCCTCTCGGTCTCCCTTGGCTCCAGCTCATCTTCCTTTACAGATTCAGGCTCCAATGGTGACATGACACACGGGCATCGGGACCAGAGTCATCTATCGGCAAGAGGGGCGACATATGCGTTTAATAAATGTATTTAATAAAGACATGCCTTTATTATTAAATACATTATTTATAACAACACATTTAATAATATTTATTTATATTATTTATTATATATAATTATAATATTTATAATAACATATTTAATAATAAATGTATTTATTATTAACTTCATAGGTTGTGGGAGCTTCATCCCTGGAAGCTTTCAAGAAGAGACTGGACTGCCATTTGTCAGAAATTGTATAGGGCAGGGGTGTCCAACTCATAATCATTGAGGGCCACATCAGGGTTGTGTTTGACTTTGGGAAGCTGGGGTGGGCATGGCCAGGGTGGTGTGGCCAGCTTGACATCACTCATGTCGGTGGCGCCTGTGTGTTCTGACCCAGGCTTCATGAATCGTAATTATTCACAAACTTGTTTTAAAAGCAAAACCTATTTTATTGCAATGCTGGGAATTGCTTTCATTCCTAGCCAGAACTAATCTCAAACAGTCCCTCGAGATAAGCACACACCTTTCAGTTCTGTGAAGTGCTGCCAGAAACAGAAATATCAAATGAACTAGAAAAGAAATCAACCAAAGTACAAGAAAGAACCAACCAAGTACACAGAGCATCAAGGTTTAATCTGAACAGAGCGAACAACTTTGCTTCCTGCAAAGGTTTCTCTACCTTTGCATTTCTTTTATCCCTTATGGGAGGGGCAATCACCTCTCAGCCTTACTCCCGAGTCGCCCCTTTTGTTTCAGCTGCTCTTGCCTTCTAGCAGCCCTGTGCATACATGCACTGGGAACAGGCTCCCCCTATTCCTCTGCCTCGCTGCTGCCAGACTCTGGAGGCTCCGGACTCAGCACCCCACTCCCAGATGATCCTGGCCCCATCTCTGCATCGGATGCAGGACCCTCATCTGAGTCCTCTCCAGACTCCTGGACTGGTACCCATTCTTTCCCACTGTCCGATTCCGCTGCCGTCTGTACTGGTTGCTGGCAAACCACAACACTGTGGCCTGAATGCTCTGCCAGTGAAAATGGGCTCCTTAAGCTCCATTTTTGGCTGCGACAGCCTCCTGCAACCCTCTGCCAGTGAAAACGGAGCTCAGGGCGGCCATTCACAGCTCTCCCAAGCTCCATTTTCACTGGCAGAGGCACCTCTGGCCAGTCCTTCACTGTTTCCAGGGCAGCCCCATGGGCCAGATCTAAGTACTCCATGGGCCTTAAGTTTGACACTCCTGGTGTAGGGTTTCCTGCTTGGGTGGGGGGTTGGACTAGATGACTGACAAGGTCCCTCCCAACTCTGTTATTCTGTCAAATCAATAAAATAAATGTGCAACGGAGCCCGCTACCTGCCTCAGATCTTGCCCCAGCAGCTCGCTGTCTGCCGGAAGGATGCAGAGACTAAAAAGTAAACCAAATCAGGAAAGTGGAAGAGTCATAGAAGAAAGCAAAGCTAGCGAGGGATGACTTGAAAGAAAGGGGCTCCACACACAATCATTAAATTTAACCTAATTGGTTAGAAACGAATCGTCCACCAGCTTCTGCCTCTTGCATTTTCCAGTGTGCATATGAGCTCACAATCCGTTTATTTGAGTATGAAAAAATGTATTTGAAATGAAATTACCGCCATGGTGAAGAATTAGCACAATGGGACAGGGCCGCAAGAACATTTTATTATAGCCTGACATGAGCAAATGATGTATTTCAATCCACTGGGAAGCCGGTTTCTCTTTTATTTTTTATTTTTTATTTAAAAAGAGAACCTGCTTTGTAAAATTCCATTGTGCTGTACATAATTTACAGGGATGTTTGATTCTAAAATTGCCACTAAACTACCGCCTGCTGTCATCGCGGAAACCATGCTTTGCAGAGCAAAAGTAATTCCTAAATATATCTTCGGGAAAGCGGGATTGAATTGGCACACGCCCGCGTTCCAAACGCCGCCGTTCTACGGGGAAAGAATTTGCAACAAACAATACGTTCCCAGCAAACACGTCCTCCTGCAGAATGCAAAATAACTTGCCGGAGATAATGAGCATCATAAAACACAAGACTCTGCGGGATGAATGAAATATCAGAAAACGAACTGATTACACCTTTATCCCAGCATTCCATCAATTCATTCGAACTTGCTTTAATCCTACCTGAATCATTTGAGTTGTGGACTTTTTGCAAAGGCTTTTGCGGGTAATGTTGTTTAAAATTTGCCACCTCATGCTTCGTTTTTCTTCCGTACCTCTGTTCGTGGAAAGTTTTTATTCTCAAAAGGGCATTGGAAGCCACTGCAGAAAAAAAGCACCCACCCACAATTTCACTCGTTGCAAATGTACGACAGTGAGAACCAGAGGTGGGTATTCAGCCGGTTCTGATCAGTTCTGGAGAACCGTTAGTGGAAATTTGGAGTAGTTCTGGAGAACCGGCAAATCCCACCTCTGACTGGCCCCACCAATCCCATCTATTCTCTGCCTCTCGAGTCCCAGCTGCTTGGCTGGGTCTTCTTTTGTTGTCCTGCACAGGAGAACGGAGCTGGAAAGCAGGTTAGTGGGGTGGGAAGGGAATGGGGATTTTGCAGTATCCTTCCCCTGCCACGCCCACCAAGCCACGCCCACAGAACCGGTAGTAAAAAAATTTGAATCCCACCACTGGTGAGAATAATGAATCAGTGGAATGACTTGCCCCCAGAAGCTATGGGGAGGTTTTTAAGAAGAGACTGGCCAGTCACTTGTCTGAGATTCTATTCTCATGTTTAAGCAGGGGGGCTGGACTAGAAGACCTCCAAGGTCCCATCCAGCTCTATTCAGATTGATTCTCGTAAAAAGCCTTTAGCAAAGACCTTGGTTTTTGTGCTGTTCCGTTGCTGGTTTTATCATGCTATTTTAATCGCCCCGTCTTAATTCCGTGCATTTTTCATGGCTGCTTTTTATTACTTTTTATTATTCTAGGCTCTCTTCCTGGTTTTATCTTTCTAGGGTTTTTAAAAACCTCGTGAGCCTGCACAATTCACATTAAAAAAAGAAAAAAGAAACACCAGGTTGCATATAAACCTTCTGCATAAACAAATAAAAAAGAGGTAATTAAGCCACACAGCAAAAAAGCTAAGCCAAAAAATTTAAAAAAGAAAGAAAGAAAGAAAGGAAAGAAAGAAAGAAAAGAAAAGAAAAGAAAAGAAAAGAAAAGAAAAGAAAAGAAAAGAAAGAAAGAAAGAAAGAAAGAAAGAAAGAAAGAAAGAAAGAAAGAAAGAAAGAAAGAAAGAAAGAAAGAAAGGATAATAGTAAAACTTGGAAGGAATATAGCCAACAGAACAAGTAAAGCTATCAGGAAGACTAGTAAAGAGTGAGGAAATGGCAAATGGAGGAGAGCAGTTGTAGTTAGGGGTAGGATTCAGCCGGTTCGGACTGGTTTGAGTGAATTGGTTGTTATACCGGTTGAATCCCATCACTGATTGTAGTTCTTCATGAATTTTGTTCAAGAACTTTCTAGTCCTTTCCTGAGCACCTCTCCCAGCATAAATAATGGCCTACTTTGGGGCTATCTGAGCACACTGGCTTTAGCTAATGCCAGGATGACTAGGCCATTGGCCTACCCATTTGGTTTCCCCAAAGGCCAATAGAGTTATCAGTTGCTACATAATTAGTGTTTAGAGCTTGCAAAATTTCAAAACAGCCAGATGGCAATAATGTGTGAAGGCACGAAGCCAAATCCTCTCTGGGTCTTTCCTGGAAACCGTCGATTAGAAGTCCAGTTATTTTTCTAACAGAAGTAATAATTGGGGTTAAGTATGGTTCATTGGCCTACCTGAAGTCCTTATAAAACAGCTGTTGCCCACCTCCTGTAAATCATTGTTATTATTTGTTAAAGGTATAAATTTAATAAACCTTGTGGTACAATTATAAATGTGTTACATTCAGAAATGCACAGGTATTACATGATGATGATGATGATTTTATTATTTTTACAAAATTGAAGTGGCTTTCTATTTTCTCTAGTTCTAAGCTAGATTTGGCCATCCTACATTCTACTGTTCCAGATGAATTATTGTTAGTTAAGTAGCTACTAAGAAACTGCCTCCCTTCCTTCCCTTCCTTCTCTTTTCCACTTTCCCTCCTGATATCTCCCTCCCTCCCTCCCTCCCTCTCTCCCTCCCTTCTCTTCTCCCTTTCTCTTCCTTCCTCCCTTCCTTTGTTCTCTTCTCCCCTTTCCTTCCTATCCCTTGCTCTCCTTCCTTCCTTTCTCTTCTTTCCTTCCTTCCTTCCTTCCTTCCTTCCTTCCTTCCTTCCTTCCTTCCTTCCTTCCTTCCTTCCTTCCTTCCTTCCTTCCTTCCTCTCTTCTCCCCCTTCCCTTCCCTTCCTCTCTCACAATTTTCTTCCCCCTTATCTCTTTCCTTCCTTTCTTATTGCTACTATCCTTTTTCTTCATCCCAGCCGCATCGCATTTCCCTCACCATATTTTTTTCTTCTTTTGATTTTTGTTCGGGAAGAAGAGGTGGAATATATGTGCACAAGTATATTTATGCATTTGTGTCTTTTATGCAAGAGAATGATTGGCAGATGCAGGTGGGCAGTCTATTAATTTGATAAAAGGCGCATTATATTGCAATGATTTATTTTCATCAGTGTGATTTCCCCCCTCCCCCCATCTACTCATTCTTTATAGGATGAAAGTACATTTGGAGTAGTCTTCTTTTTGACTAAACGGTGTAAATAGATAATAATGATTGGCCTAGTGTGGTTAAATGATATTCTCTTCATATTTTCTTCATTGCAGTGGATTTGAAATACACACACACACACACATACACACACACACACACACACACACACACAAAATCTCCTTATCTATGCATAATGGTATAATTTAGGATTTTCTTATGGAAATCTGAAGGCAGAAATCTACCGACTGCTAAAAATAGCTGAGAAAGGGAAATTAAAAGATTCTTCATGGTCATGGCCATAATAACTTCTCAGAATACTTAAGGACAAATGGAACACTGAATATTCTTAACTATTCCAAATGATTACATTTTTATTCGATTCAAGGAGAGAATTGCAGCAAAGATATATTTAGTAATGGCCTGAACTAGCACAGGTCATCCTCGACTTACGACAGTTCATTTAGTGACCTTCAAAGTTGCCACAGCATTCAAAAATGTGCCTTATGACTGTTTCTCACAGTTGAAACCTCTTGCAAGATCTCAATGGCTCCGTGATGAAAATTTGGACGCTTGGCCACTGGTTCATATTTATGATGGTTGTGTGATCCGCTTTTGCGACCTTCTGACAAGCAGAGTCTATGGGGAATCCAGATTCACTTAACAACTGGGCTACTAGCTTAACAACTTCAGGGATTCAACAACTTAACAACGGTGGCAAGAAAGGCTGTAAAATGAGGCCAAACTCACTTAACAAATGAAGTTAGCCACTTACAATCTCTCTCTGTCTCTGTCTCTGTCTCTCTGTCTCTCTCTCTCTCCTGCCTTAAGAGTTTGATGGTTCTGTCATGCCCCTGTCGGAGTTTGAATCCGAGGAGGAAGATAAACAGCTGACAGGCAGTGGGAGTGTGGCTCCGTTGGCTGTGGAGGAAACTGGGGAAGGGCAAAGTCCAGCTGGGCAGAGCAGGGAAGAGGTAGAACAAGGGAGAGGGGGTTCTGAGGAAGACCTAGGCCCACCCCCTCATCATTCTAGGGCACGCAGGGAGGAACAGAGAAGAGAGCAACATGGGTTGGGTAGCTTAAGGGGGAGGAAAGGGTCCTGATTCCCTTCATTAGCCACATCTGGGAATAAGAGTTTAAAAGAGATGCATGCTGAGTGCGGCAGCTGCTGGGAACAAACGTGAGTTTATCTTGTGTTGGCTTTGCTTATCTGTGTTCCTGGCATCTTCCCAACCGTGTTGAATTACTGCCGTTCCTTCATGTCTGGAATTCTTTCTCTTCTTCTGCTGGACTAATTACCTCATTTTGCCTTGAATTGGACTTATAGTTGCAGCTTTTGTTGACCACATTTTGGACTTGAGTCTCTGCAGCCAAAGGCTGTTCCTGGGAGAGTTTTTCTCCAGCCCAGAAGGTAACCAGGACATGGGTAGCAAAGTTGTAGCTAATAAAGGGACTCCTACTGATTATCTTGACTATGTTGCCTTTGTGCCACACCCTGGGTCATCACAGGTTTTGGCTGCAGATGCAGAGCTAGAAAATCGATTTCTGAAGACAGATCCTTGATCTACATTTCCCAAAAAGATTATTGATCAGGCAAATTTTGTCTTTCAAGTCAGCTCACAGGAAAAAAAAACCACTGACCCATTAACGAAGACAGCAGCAAGGGTGCTTAATATATTCCTCAAATGAATTTTTAAGAGAGTGAAAAATTCAGAATCACCAGGTCTCACTTGAAGTGATATACCTCAGGCCTCTGACAGCCATTTGTCTAAAATGGTCTAGGATCTCCTGCTTAAAAAGCGGGTTGGACTAGAAGACCTCCAAGGTCCCTTCCAACTCTGTTAACCTATTATTTTATATGTTTCCTGTTGTTGTTGTTGTTGTTGTTGTTGTTGTTATTTTCGAAGCCAAATGATTTGGCCTTTCTATTCCAGTTGTCCTTAATTATCTCTGAACTTAAAGAGTCATATAGAATACAGAATACCAGGATTTGAAGGGATATTGGAGCAGGGGTGAAATTCCACTGGTGTAACAACCAGTTTGGTGAGCACTTTGCACAGGTGGGCAGCATTTTAAAATGCCCATTTTGAGGTCCAAATACTTACCTTCTAATGCAGCCCCAGTGAGTAAATCAAGTGGAATTGCCGTGCCAGGCAAATCGGCTGAGCTGAAAACCCCGGAAATAAAGGACAGAAAAGAGCAGGGATGTATGGATGGGGCCAAATCATTGCTGTAACTACCGGTTCTCCTGAACCGGTCCGAACCGGTAGAAATCCGACTCCTGTATTGGAGGTCTTCTAACCTCCTATTCCAGCAGGAGACCCCAGGAGTGGGATTCTACTGGTTTGGACGGTTGTATAGAACCGGTTGTTACAATATGGCGTAATTCTGAAGAACCAGCAAATCGTGCCCCTGGCTGGCCCCTCCCCTTCCTGGCCAGTCAGTCCTTATTGCACATGCCTGACATCACTGACTGTGTTCTCCTCCGCCCAGTCATTCTTTAAAATATTTCCTTTTTTTTCTCCTGTTTTTTCTCCTTTTTTTCAGCTGTTCTGGGATCCCCCTCACTGTCTTACTGCTTCACCCAGGAGGTTTCCCAAAGGCCCAGGAGGCAAAAAAAACCACGGGGTGGTGGTGGTTGCTGCAAAAAAAGCCACACCCACCCAGTCACATGGCCACCTAGCCACACCCACAGAACTAGTTGTTAAAAAATTTGAATGCCACCCCTGGGAGACCCTATATCATTCCAGACAAATGGCTGCCCAGCCTCTTCTTAAAAAACTTCCAGTTTTGGAGCACTCACAACTTCTGAAAGCCAAGAAGTTGTGACTGTCTCCATGTTGGTACCCATTTTCTTTATGTTCTACTTAATGATGTTTAATTCGTAATCGCTGTTATAAATTTACATCAAGTCCGCTTAACTGAATTGGAAGAGGATGTCCATTTGGGGTTTTTTGTTTTGCTTCTGGAGTCCTATAACCGTAATTGCTTCCCAGCATTGTAACATAAAACCCATGTTTATCACTGCAAATTTCCCAGCAAAAAAAGAAAAAGAAAGAAACATCCACTCAAAACATCCGCAGCTCCATTTGAGGGAAAGATTAACAGTATAACAGAGTTGGAAGGGACCTTGGAGGTCATCTAGTCCAACCCCCTGCCCAAGCAGGAGACTCTACACCAGGGGTCTCAAACCTGGGGGCTGCTGGAGGCAGAGTCTGGGTGAGGCTGGGCCGCACATAGAAGTGTTTAGCCAGCTAGCGGCGCATGGAGAATGCACTAATATTATACTTTCATATCACGGTGGGGGCCACAGGATATCGTCCTGCGGGCCGCAATTGGCCCGCGGGCCACGAGAATGAGACCTCTGCTCTACACCATTCCTGACAGATGACAGTCCAGTCTCTTCTTGAAAGCCTCCAGGGATGAAGCTCCCACAACCTCCGAAGGCAACTTCTGTTCCACTGGATAATTGTTCTCACTGTCAGAAAGTTTCTCCTTATTTCCAGGTTGAATCTCTCCTTGATCAGTTTCCATCCATTATTCCTTGTCTGGCCTTCAGGGGCTTTATTAAATAGCTTGACCCCCTCCTTCTCTCTGGGGCAGCCCCTCAAATATTGGAAGACTGCAGTTTTCCCATGACCTGGATGACTGAGAATCTCTACAGACTACTTTACTACTTAAAAAAAAAAAAAAAACTAGAACTAACATTGCCTTAATTATAACTTTTGCAACTAGCCGACTTGTATTCACCTTCATCTATAAGCAAATAAATAGTGCATGGGTCAGTGGTGGGATTCAATTTTTTTTACTACTGGTTCTGTGGGCTTGGTGGGCGTGGCAGGGGAAGGATGCCGCATAATCTCCATTCCTTCCCCACTCCTGGGGGAAGGGTACTGCAACATCCCATTCTCTCCCAACCCCACTAACCTGCTTTTCAGCTCCGTTCTCCTGTGCAAGGCAACCAAAGAAGACCCAGCCAATCAGCTGGGACTCAATGGGAGGCGGAGAAGAGATGGGTTGGCAGGGCCAGTCAGAGGTGGGATTTGCCGGTTCTCCAAACTACTCAAAATTTCTGCTACCGGTTCTCCAGAAGTGGTCCAAAGTGACTGAATACCAGCCCTGGTCCTCCTCCTCCTCCTCCTCCTCTTCCTCCTAGCACTGATGATGTTACCTAGCTGGGTCATGAAATGTCTGCAAGAAAACCAGCTGCTGAATACCATTCTGACACGGATCTTATTTCGATGATGTAAATGGTTTGTTTTTTTTAGCCACTCACCTCCGTAGCTTATCAACATCGTATCATATTCAACCTCCTTTTCTCATCTGACCAGCCAAGGAGAACAGTAGATCTATCCGGTTGCCTTTTAGTCATCAAACTTTCATCGGGGGCCTACATTTATTTATTTATTCGCTTTTCCAAGTCTTCGACCAAAGGAACACCCTCTGTATGTAGACTTTTGTCAGTGGGATTTGTCACCTCTCTGGACAATTATCCTTGCCTGGATCATTATGAAAATGAAATGGAAGCCAGTTGCAGTAAGCGAGTTTGCTCACTTTCATACTGGCTAAGGAATTCTGGGAGTTGAAGTCCACAGGTCTTACACGTGGCCAAGCTTGGAGACCCCACTGGCCTCCAAGGAAAAGGACAATGGCCAATGAAGTACGCCGAATAGATCCAGGGGTTAATGGCAGAGGTGTTAGCAAGAGGTCCTCAAGCAGGGGTGGGATTCTACCAGTTCAGACCAGTTCTATAGAACCGGTTGTTACGATTCTGTACAGTTCGGAGAACCGGCAAATCGCACCACTGGCTGGCCCCTCCCCTCCTGTCAGATTTCTGCTTTCTAGCTAATCTAAATCGCTGTTGTACTGCTTTGCCTTCGCCCAGGAGGCTTCCCTGAGGCCCAGCCAGGGCTGGTATTCAGGGGATTGGGGTGGGTGGGGGGAGAAGTGGCCTGAGAGCAGAGCTGAATCTTCCTTAGGACTGAAGCTTCTATTTTTCAGTGCAGACTCAGGCAGCAGATTGCAGAAAGGTAGATCTGTGAGTGAATCTGTGATTCTGCAAGCAACTCAATCTGCTTTGCCTGATTTTGGGTAAAAGTTGCTCTCACATGACCACCAAGCCACACCCACAAATTAGGCCGTGCCCACAGAACTGGTTGTTAAGTAATTTGAATCCCACCCCTGTCCTCAAGATCTAATGTTTAGTTTCCTCACTTCCAGTTTTGAGTCAATAAATGCTGTTGCAGCTATGCTGGTCTGGTTCTTGCCTTCTGAAGCCCACTACACAACAGTAAACATTACAGAATCTAATTTTTGATTAATCTGTGTTTGAGATTAACTACTAGAATCTCTTCAAATCCAGATTAAACGTGCACGAAACAGTTCAATGCTTCCAGTTTGTGCCTGCTTGCATTCTCATTTTATATATTTCTGAATCAAATTGAATTGAATCTAAACCCTTTATGGTTTAACACAGCAATTTATCGATATACGTTCAAGTTATAACTGTAATACCTCATTGAAAAAACCAAATAAACAAATCTTACCCTATTTATTTCTTTATACCTCCAGCCATTTTTAGAGAGGCATTTCAACAGCCTTCCATCATAGAACTTATGCATTATACAATTTCTTGGATATATTAATCTGTAAATCCCTTATGACTCCATAACACAGCTTATTCTCACTTCAAGGAAAATAGGTAATATTTTCTTTACAGATTTTTCTTTACAAAGATGTAGGATACTTGAAATGGAATCTATAAGTAAAATTTTCTTATTTATCATGAAACAGGTTAGCTTTCTCCCAGAAAAATGATCTCACAGTGCAAAATAATACAAAGTGGCTTGCGGATTGATGTAGACCCTAAATTATATTGTTGCACTCTCCCTCCCCTTCCCAAATATATCAAATCTTGAAAGATTTGACAAAAATCAAAGAACTTATTTATGTAGGGGCACACACAAACCCCGGCACGCAGAGGGCTAGCAATATTTATCATTTCATTCTCTTTATTATTCTCATTTATGATTTAAATAAATTTATTCATTTCTTAGGCAAAATGGTCACATAATTACTAAAAGTGAATGACAAATGGGGCTTGCCTTTTGAAAGCAAAGCTAAATCCCTGGGATTTGACTTTGAACCCCTGATTTATTCGCATGTTCTAATATTTCCTTGATATAAATAATAATAATAATAATTTTCGTAGAATAGCTTTCCGAATCATAGAATTCACATAGACCTAAGTGAGAACAGGAAGAGAAAATGGCTATCGTGTCACCCCGATCCTTCTCTTCTCTAGGCTAGCCATACCCAGTTCCTGCAACCATTCTTCATATGTGTCATGCCCCCGTTGGAGTCTGAATCCAAGGAGGAAGACGAACAGCTGACAGAGAGCAGGAGCGTGGCTCCGTTGGCTGTGGAGGAAACTGGGGAAGGGCAAAGTCAGGCTGGGCAGAGCAGGGAAGAGGTAGAACAAGGGAGAGGGAGTTCAGAGGAAGACCCATGCCCATCCCCTCTTCATCCCAAGAAAGAACGTAGAAGAGAGCAATGTGGCTTGTGTGACTTACAAGGAAGGAAAGGGCCCCAATTCCCTCCAGCATTCCTCCTGACTGTTTGAATTATTGCCGTGCTTCTGTGTGCTTATCTTACCTTGCTGGAATTATTACCGTGATTCTTCACTTCTGGGACTCATTATCTTGCTCTGCTGGAGTGATTGACTGCAGTCATTCTGCTTACAGCGTTTGGACTGGAGTATCTGCAGCCAGAGGCTGTTGCAGGTTCGTGTGAGAGCTTTCCTTCAAGCCGGAGAATAAATGGGATGTTGGGGGCAAAGTTGGTGCCAATAAAAGAATTCACACTGGTTCTCTGGCTGTGTTGCCTTGTGCCAAGCCCCAGGTCATCACAATATGTCTTCAATCACCTTAGTTGCTCTTCTCTGCACTTTCTCCAAAGTCTCAGCACCTTTTTTGTAATGTGGTGGCCAAAACTGGATGCGGTTTTCCAGATCTGGTCTTACTATGATTTTATAAAGTGGTACTACTACATCACACGATTTTGACATTCCATATTACATCTTTATGGCCAGGTGTGACTTTCCTGCATCTCAGGAAGAACTGCTTTGTGTCTCTTGTCACCAGGAGATGCTAAGGAAACAAGGGTGCAAACAGTTGGACCATCCCAAGATGGCACTTTGGAGGCCACAGGAACTTGAACACAAAACTTGTGCAGAACATCTTAAAGCAACTGGGCAACCTTAGGAAAAACATAGCTGTGATGACCCAGGGCGGGATACAAAAGCAACAAAGTCACAAAAATCAGGTGAAGTCCCTTTAATTCTTTCAGCTTGGCTTCAAGTTGTGGATACAGGACTGTATGAACCTGAAATGAAAAAAATACCGCATCCTTTTTCTCCTTTCCAAACTAACACTATGATTCTCCTGCCTGTAACTGTTGTGGCCTCTCCGGCAGCTGGATTGGATGAGTAGGAGTAGGAGTGGGAGTTAGTGTCAGCATCAAGGCAACCTGAAAGCTCCAAGGGGGAAAAGGGAATGGAGCTGGCAGAGAAAGAAAGACAGAGGTGGAGCCTTAGCCGTCCGTCAGCCCTCAGATGGAGAGTCAACAGCCCCCAGGTCTGGAGGTGGCTGATGAGGAACAGGAGGAACAGCTGGGTCCGGTGCCTGATGCACGGATGCACAGAAGACAGAGGAGAGGAGAGCAATGGAGATCTATGGGCCGGTCCTTGGGATGGAAGAGCCACCACTGCTAGTGAAGCTCCACCCTAGCTCTGGGGATAAAAGGAGATGAATAGGTGTGACAGACAACTATTCATCTCCCTGCTGGTCCATCACTGGTGGCCTGCACCTCCGAATCGTGTCTGGGAATTATCAGAAGTCTTCTTGGAATCTGCAGCACCTTCTTAGCGCGTGTGTGTCTCTGCTGCTGGAAGAAAGCGAGCGCACCTTCCAGGACTTCTTTTGCAAGTGTGGGAGGAGAGAGAGAGAGAGAGAGGGAGACTCCTGGTGTGTTGGGAGCGAGCATCACTTTCCACAGGACATAGAGACTTTGTAGCCTGCTGTGAGAGAGCGGTTGATGGTGGTCCTAACAAAGGGAACATTGAGTTAAATACACAGGGATTGCCATGTTTGGGAGCTGGGTCAGAACAATAACTCTGTGTGATTCTGTCCTGGGATCAGGGCTGGGCTGCTGGGGGTTCGTAGGGGTTCAGGAGAGCCCCTAAACTAAGATTCTGTGCAGTTTGGAGAACCCCCAAACCCCACTCCTGGCTGGCCTCTCCCCTCTCCGGAGGCCCCACGTGGCCCGTTTTGAATGCTGATAAATGCAGGGCATGCGCAGAGGCTCGGAGAGGGTGAAAAACAGGCATCCTGGACGTTCGGGAAGGCCAGAAATGGGCCCGTTTCCGGCTTCCAGAGAGCCCCATTTTTGCCCCCCCCCCAGAGGCTTGAGGAAAGTCTCCAGAGCCTGGGGAGGGCAAAAACACCTCCCCACCATGGTGCAGGAGGCTGACTAGGCTACGCCCACCATGGCCACACCCACCCAGCAACCGGGCAGAGAACCCTTTGCTAAAATTTTGGACGCCTACCCCTACCTGGGATCCTAAGGCAAATCCATTGCCACCAATCTCATTGCTCTCTCTCTCTCTCTGTGTGTGTGTGTGTGTGTGTGTGTGTGTGTGTCTTCCCTATTTTCTTAAAGCACAGTTTTGTCCCTGCTCACCATATGCTGGGCAATAAATTACG